AAACCACATTGAAAGCACTGGGAGGTGGCACCTTCAAAGACTGGGACATGCATCTAGCAAAGGCCCCCTGGCTAGTCAACACAAGAGGATCTGCTAGTCGAGCTGGCCCGGCTCAGTCAAAACCTCAATGTGCTGTAGACAGGGATAAAGTCCCTGTGATGCACATGAGGAATATATTGAGAAAAATGGTCTGGTTTAGTCCTGCGCCAGGCAAAGGTAAAGGCAAACCCATCCACAGGATTGGTTTTGCTCAAGGCCCTGGTTGTACCTGGTGGGTGATGCAGCATGATGGAGAGGTCTGATGTGTACCACAGGGGGACTTGATTCTGGGTGAGACCATGCCGTGAATTATGCTGTGCCTTTGTAAATTGTCATTTTGTTATTGTTAACTGCTAAATGGCAGCTGGACATGACGCAGATGGTATAGAATAAAGGGGTGGATTATGGCCTAGTTCAGCTAGGATAGGGTCAAGTTTTCTCCCAAGCAGCGGGAAGGGATCTCCAGAAGGGTTATTCATACCACGTGATGTCAGGTCTGGCGCGGTAGTGCAGGAAGCTTTCTTTTGTGGCTTGGGTTGCAGAAAGCACGCGTGGTGGGCTAGCTGTATCCCTGCGGTATTTCTCTGTGTATCCTTTGTCTTGTTTACAGTTATTACTGTTTGTTGTTGTTACTATTGCTATTGTTGCTGTTCAGATTGTTTTATTACATTGTTGTATTTAACTTCTTCTTATTTTAACCCGGGGTTTGCGCCCTACTTGTGTCTGAGGGTGGGGGAGGGACAACGGCAACGTGGTCTCCAGTCCTGGCAGGACTTAAAACCGTCACAACCTGCATTGATACCAAGCAGTGTTAATTTCTTCTAACTTTATGGGGTGGAGGAAATATTTTTTCATTACATTTTGGTGCCATTTAGAAATTATATAAATATAAGTAGTTTTGATACTCTGTTGGGATTTAAGTAAGTTTGTAGCTCAACCTCTTAAAAAACCCAACTTCTTCTCTTTGCCTGCAGGTTACAAAGGTATTGTGGAATTCTAAAACTTACTACACTCCCTCTCCAGTAAAGAATTTCAGCATATGCATACAAGTGAGTAGTTGAGTAAACATTTTGCTAGCCTGAGTGTACAGAACATGCATCATGAAAGGGGTGACGTGTTAGGTCAGTACCCCTATATTTCCGCAACAGCTTTGGGAACCAAGATGGAGGAAGTCACAAGGCACTGAAAATTTTAAAATTTTGTTACAGTATTCAAATTTGCTTCCCTACTCCCTACCTACTCTCATCCTTCTAGATCAAGAACATGTCTACACAGCTCTACAGGCAGATGAAAGTGCATTCTTCCCATGCTGCAAGCTGACTAGAAGCTATTTAAAGTTATTTCACATTCTTCTGAGCCTCATGAATAAAGTCCCTGCTGAAAGGTACAGTGTATTATCTTGGCCCTCACGTTTGATTTGGACAGTTTGCATCTTGCTGAAAAACACAGGGAAACACTCCAAGGTATTTTCTGTTACAGAAGCACATATATATATACGCATGCGAGCTACAGAAGCCTATGGTTATAACCAGTGCCTTATCTTACTTCATAGTAAATGTAAAGGGGTCATGAACCTCACAGAAATACTACTAACTTCAAGGAAGCTTTTTTTTAGTTTACAAACTACCAAAAACTTTGTTATAATTAACAGGTAGCAAGGTCAAGCAGTCATCCAAAAAGCTGGAGGATTTCTTTAGCCTTCTATGATTTCTTTCTTTTTGGTAAGCTATTTAAAAACTTGATTCTCCTACACTAATGCTTCTACACATAAGAAGTTAGGATGAAACTTTTTTGTGCTACTATGTCAAAAGCTTTTTTAATTTCTACAAAGACATCATATCAAGATGAAGCCTCTTTGTGGACAGCCTTACTAACTTTGCAAAACAAACTGTAGCCTGCTTTAACACGATCTTTTAAAAGGACAGCCATAAAAACACCACATCAATTTTTTTTTTTGACTGAAGCTTGAAAAGAAGTATAAAAGCTGATGGAATTGTCCATAACATACCACTGTGATTCACCCGAGACTACTGTAAGAAATTAGCAATGTCAAGTTCAAGGCTTGGCTCTGAGCATGACATTTGAACAATACAAAGAAAACAGAATCTCCTCCGTGAATTTGCAAGAGAATTGTGAATGCTCTCTATCTAGCAATAATAGGCTTATTTTTCCAGGATGTGACCTCAAGCACCAGTTTGTGTCACTCCTCCACAGGCGGCTGTACAAGAGCTACATCTGGAAGGGGTCCCTACCCCAAAGCCAGGCTGCAGAGTTGGGGTGCAGCTCAGGGTAGTTCCTCTTGGATAAGTCAGTTCTGCTTTCTCTCAGTGGCGCTCCCTTCTCCTCCCTGCTCACAGTATGTCAAATGGGAAAAGTGAGGAGCAGTAGTGTCCAGACAGCTTGAAGTCAGTGCAGTGGAAGCAGCACAGCTATGGCACATGGCAGGCTGGAGGAAGTTGAAGAAATAAAGGAAAGAAAAGAGAGGACAGAGAAACATGTGGAAGAGATGTGATAACTGTCATGAAATGACTTATTTAACAGTGTCTTACCATCATGTCCTAGGCTGCTGTGCCCACACACCTCTGTGCACACATGTGTGTGTGTGTGTGTGTGTGTGTGTGTGATGTACAAGTATGCACATGCACTTGCAGATGTGTGCCTGCATATGCATTTGGGATAGGGCTTGGGAGGCTGTAAATGAGATTTAGTAACACAAATCTCAGCCTTGCTTGTGACGTATTTATCACTTTCTGTGCACTTTGGGTCAAACATTTACAAGAATGCCATTTGCTTCTGGTAAAATCAACCACAGGAAAGGCAAGGAAGGATGTAGTGGTGGCAAAATGCAGAACCCACCATTGCCCTGAAGAGTGCAACAACAAAAACTGGAAGTCTGAGCTCCCCAAAATAAACTGCCTGTGTTTGAGGGCTGTAACAGCAAAAAGAGGAACTCTTGGTCTTGATTCTGCCATTACAGAGGGACTGAAAAGCTGTAAGTAGATCAAATGGTCACAAGCAAGTGTCAGGAAAGCAACTGAAGAGCCACACTGGTTGTAGAAAAAAATAAGTCAGATCAACTGTGAAACTGTAAGAAGCACAGTGAAGAAATATTATGTAAATCAGGTCAGCTAAGCCAAACGGAAGGCCCAGGCACCAGAAATCCCCTTTGACACAGCAAAGCATAACAGGGTGTTTGGATAATGGAGCCAGCAAAAGAACCTGGCCTTACTGAGACAGGATGATGCTTGTATCCTGCCCATCCCAGTGCGAGCAAAAGGGCACACATGGAAAGAGTTTGGGGTCAAAGATCAGCAGTCCTATGCCAAGAATCATAGCTTTTCATTATCAGAGGGGAAAGAAAGGCCCCAAATTGCCTGCCCTTCCAGTGCTTTGTTTTCATACAGGGCTTGACATGGGTGCACAGCTATTGTAAACACATACACATACTGTTACAGAAATGCAAGAAAAGCAAAACAGTCCTTTTTTTTGTAAAATGATGGATATTTTTACAGCATACAGAGCAATCACGCCATTTAATTCTGCAGAACAGGAAGGAGTTCAGTAAATTGCTGTAAAAATATCCAGCCTTATGCAACCAAAATGCCAACTATGGATCAGGTATTTGGAATAGCTGTGAAGTGGTATCATGGACATCCCCTGCACTGTGAATATGTAGCTAGGGACAGAGCTTAATCTACACCTCAGCTAGCTAGTGTACCTTAGTAGTGACCTCTTTTGTAAAATGACTCCAGCAGTCCCTTCATATATAGTTTTAGACCTATATTCTACTCCCCCAAACTTTCCATTGTCACAGACTCCATTAAGTCATTTAACACAAGCTGTAGGCAGAAGACATAAAACAACATTTTGATTTGGCAGGCATTTAAATTTTCATTATAAGCATTCATACAAGGAGCAAATAGTCACATAAGGTAAGAAGCTACAAATGCTTTCTAAAAATTCTATCATTTTTGATGGTTATTTTATGTACAGTCCTACATACAGCACAAGAGTAGAACATGGTCAGCCACAACAACACAGTAACAAAACTTACTTATTTAAATATGCTGCAAGCAAACAAGAATAACTCAGTAACTGGTTTTGCATTCCTTGTTTGAAAGAAACATTGCATAATATTACTGTAACTACAGACTGCATTTTTTTCTATTGAGCATTCAATTCCTAACAATACTTAATAAGCATAATGAATGTAGAACACTCCCTATTCCCATCTGTTTATTTCTTCTTACTTAGTAAAAAGATTTCTTTTTAAATGTGGCCCTTATATGAAATATCAAATGATATCATTTATAATATAATCAAGAAATATGCGGTCTTCTATAATTTAAAAAATATTTTCAACAGTCTTAAAATAATTGAAAGATAAACTATTTTTGATACCAACTACTCTGAAGAATTAATATCCCATCAAATAAAAACCTTCAGTGCACATTCTACCTTTACCAGATGATAAGCAAAAGTGATCAGAAAAAGCTTGAGGGCATTACAACATAACTCGAAAGGAGAAAACAGTAAAAAGGCCCAACAATTCTTATTGGCTAACTAATATATCTAAAATAATAGGAATCTTCTCAATTCAAATTCATTTGGTATCACAACTGAAGTTAGTATTTAAAATACACCAATAATGACATGATTTATGATTTGATTGATGAGCTGTTAATGCTAAAAGACAAAGCTAAGTAAACATTAACCATTTTGCTCTACATTGTTATTTCACACAAATATAGCCTACCAAATCTCCTAAGAGTGCCTACACATACAGTGAGACTGCTTGCTTGTCCTACTGTCAGCAATCTTCCAGATAAAGTAATGTTGTACACAAACATGAGCCAGAAATCACAAGATGGAAAAACTCCCCTTTTTGATCAGACAGGTTTTGTGTGGAGTTTAACCACGTAACACTTCTCTGGAAGCAATCACACACAAATAAGACATACCTGATGTGCCAAAATATAGATATTGTGGCCAACATCTTTTGGGGAGATGCCATCATCTCCGTTCTCCTCCTCATGGCCACATTCAAGGCCTTGGTTATATGCATTCTTCATCACATCCACCTGTAACACAAACATAACCAGGGAGAGATGAAATAAATGTCATTCTTGGTGAAAAAGCACACTGTGTTTGAACACACTCGTTTTGCTCAGCTCAAGCCTGGATGGGTGCCCTGCAGTTCTGCAAGAGAGAGCAATCTGAGAAACACTTTCTGAATAAAGACAAGCTTGAAGTATTTGTGAAGCTCCGAACTGCTACATTTCTCATTAGAAAAACTGTAATCCTGAGAAAGGAATGGGAATGCTAAGCCTTTGTGAGCACATATTTTCACAAATGCTTTTAAAGACAGATCTACAGATATGGCAGGTAGTGCTGTGCGACACTTAAGAGTGCAGCCATGATCTCCCTCTGGCTAGTGCAGGCTGCAATTTCACTCAGCATTCTACAAACAGTTTAGCAGCAAAAAAAGAGAAAAACCTAAACCAAAAAGGAAAGGAAGATACAGATCTGGGCAGGATTCTGGGGAAATCCAAAAATATTCAGAAGCCTTTTACAGGTTCACTGGGGAGGGAAATCCTCCATTCCCCGTGCAGGGCTTGATCCTGCAGCTGTACCTTAGGGATGGCCTCATCCTGCTGACATGGCACCTCAGTGATGGCGCCTGGAAACCAGCAGGCCACTGGGCTCTGCCTAAGGGCAGGACTGATGCCCACAGATCTCCCCATAAAACAGGTTTTTCAGTCACTGCTGTTACATGGTCAGCTGGATTAGAAACAGTTTCTCCAGATTTCCAATTTATTTAAAATTCCTAGAGACCTACACAAGCATCACAGTTGTTCCAAAATACAGCAACAACTCTTTGTAACTCTCTTTGTTCATGAGACATATATATAAAACATACATATATATATATATTATATATATATATGTCTATACACACGTTTGTTAGCACTGTTTCACAAACTCTACAAGCTTAATCTGCCAGCCCCTGACAAAGTGTACTTGAAGACAGTCTACCACAGTATGATAATTTAGTTAGTAAACAATTACAGAAAAGTGCTTGGAACTGATGAAGTCATAAAGACTGAAATCATGCATGCTTGATCCTTTAAAAGTACTTTTTACGAATTAGTACTATCCTGATACATTGTGTCACAATATGCTGCCAACACTTTTCATCTTAGATGCATATAATTTTTAAAATGTTTTAATGACAGATTTTTTTTTCAGCCAAAAGATTTATGAATATGCAGAAGTTTTCTCACCAGTTCCCTTGGTCTCATGTTGAAAAGGATTCTTTCTGCATTCTCGCTGTCATGCCTGCTTTCCATAATGGCCAGCAAAAGCTTGGAGGCATTGTTCTAGAGAAACAAAACCATGTTAATGCAAATTTTAAAATCTATTTCATGGATTTACAACCCTTGTATTTGCTTTAATTGAGATTACGAGGACCACATTTTAAACTACTTGCATCTTTTATTTTACTGACATATTTAACAGGGTTTCTCTCCCATTTTAATGTCAGTGTACTGTAAGGCTAACCCTGCATGTTATATTGAAGAAGTACTTTAAAAAATATTTGATTTAAATACAGAACCTTGTTCTATACTTGCACAAGAAAAGAACTCCCATTTCCTTTTCTTATTGCCCACCTCTACCAATTTTTCACAGAATCACAGAATCTAGGTTGACCTTGAAGATCACCTAGTCCAAGCATTAACCTAACAAAGACCATTCTCAACTACACCATATCCCTCAGCGCTATGTCAACCTGACTCTTAAACACCTCGAGGGATGGGGACTCCATCACTGCCCTGGGCAGCCCATTCCAACGCCTAACAACCCCTTCTGTGAAGAAATATTTCCTAATATCCAGGCTAAACCATGGCTTTCTGTTAAAACAATACTCAACAGAAATAATTACAAAATGTATTACATGAAAGGTTTCATCACTCAGGCAGGTTTCCTTCCCCTTTGTTTTTTATAAAGTCTGAGAAGTTATTATTTGAAAGGCTATAAAATAAACTGGTTTTATACATTCCTAGAATTTTGTTTCACTACCAAATATTCCTGGGGGAACATATAAAGATATTCTTTACTTTGTCAAGCAGCTGCTTTTCACCGAGACCTCTCCCAAGGATTAAATTGCATGAGTTTTAGCAGCAGTAACCCAGTAGTGCCTTAGACTAGTGCCAGAGACCTGTCCAACTTCCAGTTAAATCAGATGCTGTGAACAGGAAAGGAAGAATAGTGTTGGAGGTTTGACTGCTTTCTGGCAAGGCGTGGTTGCCTTGGTTCACCTGCATCTCCTCATCATCTGTTAGAGACTGAGCTGTGTGAATACTTGGAAGTAGACTGCAGTCCCACAATACATGTAGGGACCAGTAAAATTCTCAACCCACCTTAAAACCTTTTTCTCAGCTGCTTATTGCCAGACATCAGCAATTCAAACTGAAATTTTCTTCAGCAAGGGTGTGCCTCATATAATTAGTATGGCCAATTTTGGAAGAAAAGGTTTTAGCTGCTTTTGGGACTGAGGCAAAAAGAAAGATGTTATTTTCTGCATGTTCAAGCAACTTCTGATGTTCAAGCAACTTCTGTTTTAAGCAGCCTTTTTATCTCCAAGTTTTGATAGAAAAGCTGAAAATCTGGATCACTAGAGGCCAAGATGATACAATCATGCAAGCTGTAGTCCCCAGGGAATCCCAGCCAAATTTGTCCAACTCATAAGACTATTTTTCAATTACGATTTGAATACTATACTGTAGTGGAATAGTGGAATTAGCTGGAATTCTACAGCTAAAAGCCCTCAGAGTTTCTTCTTGGTGGCCACAGAATCAACAAAATCATGCAAGCTGGATCACAATATCCCACATTTGGGACTCTCCTTTGGACTGATCTTTCAGCAGTCCAACTTCCTGCTCAAAATAGGTTGCTCAGGTCTGTGTCAAGATGAGGTTTGAATGTCTCTATCTGGAGGACTGTAGGATTAGAAGTCAGCAGCAGAAGATGAAAGGAGGTCAGATGAATAGAATGAGGATTTAAGCATGACAGGGGAACCAGGACCTTCTGGGAGAAGAGGTTGGGAGCTGAGTGAGAAGCCAGAAGAAAGGAGACTGAGCTTGCCAAAACAAGAATGAGATAAAGAACAACGGATGAGAAGAAAAAACCGGACTGGGACTGGCTAAAGGAAAACAGGACTCCATATGGATTTTTCCATAGCTCCCATTTCCTTTTACTCCAGAATCAAACCAGCATCATCCATTTGACAGATCTAATCATACTCTTTACCTCGCAACCTACATTGCAGAAGTTTAACATGCACAGTGAATGAGACCAGGTGTAGGGAAAGGACAGTATTTTAAGACAGCTGACAGGGTGCTGCTCTGAGGAACTGGATGCTCCCTTTTCTGCTGCAGTTTTCCCTTACAGCGTTGACCAAGCCAGTTGCAGTAGCATCAGCAGGATCTCAAACTAAGGAGAAGGGAAGGGGGCAAGACAGGCTGTGGGGTAGTTTTGAGAAGAATGGGAAGAAGCACTGGAGTCTACGCACCAGTCTACTCACTCATAGATGAGGAGGACTTTAAAGCTATTTCCCAGTGCAGACAAATCTGGGGATGGGCCTGCTGCAGCTTCCAGGAAGTGAGGAAAGGTAGAGAGTTGGTAGGACTTTGGGTGATCAACACAAAGCCAGCTTCTTGTGACTGTCTCTGCAAAAGTAGCATGCCATAGCCTAGCATTACAGCAGGCAGGCACATCCTCCATTTTTTTCTCTCTGATCACTTGCACCTGAATTGAGATGCTCATTTGACTACTTGTTCCTCATTTTCTGCATGCTTTGAGACCCTAGGATCTGATTTCCATTCCCAGATATCAATGAGGAAAAGAAGTCCACTACTTGGAAAATACAGTATAAAGTTCTTCATAACACATTAGTACTGCAAAAAATCAGTTCCCAGGTGCTATAAACAGGACAGCTCAATACTTCTGGCCTTCATTTCTCTTTACTTGGGTTCCCATCTCATCTTATTTGCATCACTTCTCATAAGAATTTTGGAAAAAATAAATTAACACATGAAACAGTTAGATAAAGCAGAATAAGGTGCTGTGAGAAAAGTCAAACACACACTAGCATTAGCCTCTCTCTGCCCTTAGACTGACAAGGTCTCTTCATCCTGCCACTATAAAGAGTGGCAGATATTGAGGTCATACTGTGTTCCAGGACTTAAATACTAGTCAGTAAGGAAGGCCAGGGGGTCATACTCAAAATAATGAGGCAGAACAGAACACTGGCCATCTGTGCACTCAGTGAATACTGTCTACCCTGCTCACTAAATGATTTGGGCATCCCATGGAAAATATAGTCCATGAAGATGTAATTAAATACCACATCAAAAACGATATTCAAAACAAGCTAAATTAAGATGGCACAGGAAAATATAATTCTGAAGTGCCTTTGCTTTGGTTGGGGGGTACGAGTTCAAGGTATAATGTACCCCAAAACCAGTGTCTGAGCTTGTTTGTATGTGTAAGCATGTGGTTCTATACACTTTGTATTCTGTATTTTCACTGCAAAATTTACGTATTTGCAACTTCAGAGTCACCTATGGACACTGACAGATTGTCAATGTTAAACATTACCTGATAAACTCAGGGCTGTATTATTTCTATGTTTTGCCACTCAAAAGAAAAACTGGTTATTCTTAATTCGGATCTAATTCTTGACAGAACATCTGGCCCAGCACTGTGTCCAGTTCTGGGCTCCCCAGCAAGAGATAGATAGGGGTGTACTGGAATGAGTTCAGTAAAAAGCCACAAAGATGATTAAGGGAATGGAGCATTTTACATACAATGAGCAGCTGAGATGGGAGTGTACAGCCTGAAGAAGAGAGGGATCAGAGGGATCTTATCAATGTGTATAAATACCTGATAGGAGGGAATGAAGAACAGGGAGTCAGACTCCTCCCAGCAGTGCCCAGTGAGAGGACAATAAGCAATGTACACAAATTAAAACACATTAAATTCCATCTGAACACAAGAAAACACTTTTTTACCGTGAGAGTGATCAAGCACTGGAATAGGTTTCCCAGACAGATTGTGGAGACCAAATGTACATGATCCTGGGAAACCTGCTTTAGCTGACCCTGCTTAAGCAGGGGGGTTGGACAAGATGTCCTCAAGATGTCCCTTCTAACCTAAATGACTCTGTGATTCTGTAAAATCAGAATAATTTCCACAGTTTGAACCTTTGGTATTATTCACTACAACTTTTGCTATTTAAGTTAAAGTATAACATATATAGCCTCTTGTGAACAGGGTCAATCTGGTCCTTGCATCAATGTCTCTGAACCCCATTTTTGGTTATTACATAGGAAAGATGTTCTACAAGCATTTGCTAGCTTCACGATAACAGCAAAACAAAATGGCACTGGAGTTACTGTATCTAGGTCGTTATACAGACTGAAATGTGGACTTCAAAAGAACTGTCTTCATGCTCAGAGTTAAACAGCTGCTTAAGTGTTTGCTTGAGGGGGGCCTGAAATACATTGCCATTCAAAAATGTAATTACAATTACTAAAATCATGTGTAAAGCACTGTTGATTCCATGTTTCACTGTACATTATATATAGCTATATTAATTATTTTATTAGACATCCAACATTGCCAATATGATGCAATACAGCTACAACCAAGTATTTGCTGGTTTTGGGGAGGAAACAGACCATCTGCAATGGAAATGCTTCATTCAGAAGGCAAGAAAAGGCAACAACCCAAAGCTCCTCCCAAACAAGTTCTACCCTACTTGGCAGACAGTATAGCTGCAGAGCTTCCCTCTGCATCCAATGGCACACAGAGTAAGAAACATATCTATAGCCTATCCAACTCTCCACAGAATACAAAACAAAACTGCAAGCCCTCCCACTCTATTCTTTGTCCTCCCCCTCAGTGGACACTGAGAAGGGAAATAAAATGCAAATTATTTTCACCTTGTTTTCAACTTTATTTACAGATCATCCAATATTATTCCTTTTTCACAACATCTCCTTCTGAAGCAATTTTTTGAGAGTTCAGTACACACAGAGACTGCCTGACATGTTACATTTCTGCACAGTGTTGCTATTTATCAGTTCTGTAAGATTTTATGCCCACATAGACTCTTCATGCTAGGACTTTAAAAAAAAAAGCTGAGGGCACACTCCCAAACAACAGGAAGTCAAAAGGTCTATGGTAGAGGGTCTGATAAGGATTCAGAAGATGAGCTGAATTAATCTGCAACATTTGTTTTCACAGGCTACTGAGTATTTTATGCTATTGTAAGATTAAGTAAATGTCAGGATGCCTAGAGCTCTTGCATAGGTATATCTTCTATTGTTACTCAAATTTAAATTTAAAAAGTTACATTTACTGTACCTTCAGCTGAAGCACCAAGTCCATGCAGTATTTGCCAAGAGGGTTTATGTCATTCAAGATGAGTGCAATTATAATATCAATCCCATTAGATTCATGGGTGGCTATACAAGTCTGCAAAATAAGAGAAGGGAGTTGGGGCCGGGGGAGAGAGAGGGAAGGAGGGGGAAAAACAGGGAGATTGGACAGGCAGAGAGAATGTGCACATCAACAAATTTGAAAAACAAGGGCCTGGAACTTGAAAGACCTTGTGACAATAATGAATCTCCCAGTCAAAGCAGAGGAGTCTGAAAACGTGCCACAAGAGGTGCTGAGGGAGACTTGTGTAGCACAGAACTAACGCCAACACCACCAATAGTGAAGCACACAACTGGAAAAAAGGTGGTGCATATGCTTGCAGTGAATCATGCAGGGTTTGGCACCAATTGTTACAAGTTACAGACAGCAGCCTACTGGAGCACTGCCCGATTCAGCTGAACATATATGCAGAGACATAAAAAACATGCTTGAATCTAGGCACAATCAAAATTGCACACTCAAGTTCTTAATTTTCATTCATCAATCGTTAATATCGCTGTTATAGCATGAATTGTTTGTGAAAATTAAGGTTTTCTACATGCATCTGGACATGTCCTGAACAGAAGGACATTTCTGGACATGGAACTCAAAACTGTCATTATGACCAATGGTACTTCCCAAATGCTTTTACAGCCAGAGACCGGACCTTCCAAGCCTTGTAAATAAATGTCAGTTATACAAGCCCATGGTATATTTTCTTCCAATGGGTTTATATGACAACAGGAAAGGAAAAGTTTTACAGAAAGCTAGCAAGAGTGAAAAAATGAAAATGACAGTGTGGAGCATTTGCCTCTGAAATACACAGAATTAGACTTGAAGTTGGTGTAAGGAAGCATAACTCAACTCCTGAGTGACTTTCCAGCAGATATGCCTAGGTAATAAAGTGTAACTAATCATTCCCTTCCACTATCAGTATTCCTCCAGTGCTCCTCAAGTAAACTTGTTGGAGAACACGTTAACTTGAAACTTTTTTTTTTTTTCATTCACAGCCCTGTAATTATTTTTTTAGATGTTTTGCTCATTCATTAGGGGATCAAATATGACTGTTTAAAATTTAGTCCACTAAAGGATTTTTGTTTGTTTTTTCTTAAAATATTAAATAAAGGCAATTGATTACCAGCAATGGCAATAATAGCACTTTACACTTCGTTTTTGCACATTAATGAAGTAGCATTAATACCGCAGGTATTATTCAACTCTTTCTAGTATCATGAATAGACTGTAATTTCACCCACTGCAATTTCCCGATTGCTAATCCATAGTAAAAATTCTGCAATTTCATCCATTGTGACAACTTCACTACAGTTCTCTTCAGATCAAATACAGCAGCATGTAACTACATTCTTTAGTTTTCTATACTGCCTCAGCACAGCACTAATAAGATATCTAGTAAGTCACAACTACATGACTTTAAAGACTGCATCAAGTAACGCACAGATTAGAAGCATGATCTTCAGTCTCATCCATTTCACTGCTGATATAATTAAAGATGCTGCTAGGTAGTATAGCAGGCTAGTAAGTTAAACTTTGTGGCAGTTATGTGAATTAAGGAAAGTACATGTTACAACCTATATAAACACCAGCAAAGGCAAAATATATGAAAATGAAGAAAACAAGATTGTGTTTGCAATGTACTTCCATAACTGCAACACAAAATCCAGTCTCACAAAGTGAGGTTTAATACCTTGACCTAAGACACTGAATGCTCTCCAAAAGAACTGGAAACCCTCTACATAATCAGACATAATACAGGAAGAGTCCACTATTTTGAGTTCCGACTTAAAAGGATTGCTCAGTCCTTATGAAAGCTTGAAACATGTTAAGTCTAATCATAGCAGTTACAAGTGAATTTATGTTATTAAGAACACTGAAGGGTTTATGATAAGCACATAGATACCACACATTCAGGTGCATCGAGTCCTACCTGATTTTCATGGCATGGACCCTGGCAATATTCAGTCAAGCTTTCCAGCGTCTGGTTCACCAAAGCCACATTCCTTTCATTGATGTAAAGGCCCAGTAAGCCCAGCCCGCCTGTCGTGCTTCCACAGATACAGTCCAAAAACTGAAGGGTCTCACAAACAAGGTTGTAATTTGTTTTATTATTCTGATGTCTTAAAAAGTTCTGGTGGATGGAGAAAAGTAACACCAGGAAAAAAAAAAAAAAGAAAAAGAAAAAAAGAGAGAGTTAGAATCAAGTCAAACACAGTCTTTTTTCACAAAAATATTGAAGGGTACGATTTATGACCATATGACCACTGTACCTTAAGTACTCAAGTACACTGCACTGTAGGAAATACATTACACCTTAGCACAGTAATTGAGAACTATTATCTCAGTAAATCAGTAGAGAAAGGAGGGCTCAGGAGAGTGAACATTGCAAACACCTGCACTGTCATTAACTGTCTTATATATGTCCTGCATACCTGCTCCCATTCATCTATTATGACCCTTCTCTTGGAAGCTCGTTGCCCCACAGATGGGCAGGTTTGGTGCACATTACAACCACTCCTTGTCAGTGCCAGTGCAGAACGGTAACTTAGCTCAAACCATTCCCAACACTGCTTTAAGGGAGGCTGCTGGACACAGCACTGAGGTACATTTGCAGAGAATTAATTTTGCAAAGGTTGCTATAGGGACAGTAATTTCTACCAGAGAAACTGATAGCAAAGACACATCATAATACCTAGGGAAAAGAACAGTACTCAAACTTTGCCCAGAAACTTCCTGCGATCTTCAAGCCTGTGGTAAGTGATCCACCAATTGTGCACAGAAACCGTACTAACAGGGACATTTAGACACTGCTCAATTCCATGTGGCTATGCTGCGGACCCCAAGCAATTCTGAGGACATAAACATGAGCTCAACCAGAGCGTGCAAGTGGTTCTTGAAAAGGGTTATTCTATCCCTTGAACCAAAAGAAAAACAACATTTTAGACACCCCTATTCTGTAACGGGAGCCAGACACCAGCATGTTTTTATTTCTTTATGATTTTCCAGCTCCTGTAATACTTCTTTTGGAGCTCAGCTCAAAAAAGAGTTTACCTGGAGCTCTCGGTTGTGGTTCTCGCACAGCAGCTGAAGAAATCTCAGTATTGGCTGCATGATTGCAATGGCAGGGCTTATGATTGTTTCCTCTGTGGACTTCTCTTCTGCATTTGCAGCATCTGTTCCTGAGCCCGTAAGATCTATTTCTGGGTCCATTTCTCTTCTATACACAGAGTAAGCCTTGGATGTTGCAGAAGATGCTTCTGTTAACTGTCCTTTCATACCCTCTTTCAGATGCAGGGTTGAATCCTTTACTGAAAATAAGATAATTTTCCTTCATTTTTTTAAAGTCTTTCTCCTTATTTGATTAAACAATAAGAAAACAATAATAATGAATGAAACTTTTTCTTTGTTGGTGCCTAACTTTTCAAAGACCTCTAGGCAACTTACAAAGAATATCAAAGCAACATTCATGCAGGGATAGCATGTTCCAAGTAAACCACAAACCAGAGTGAAACAGAACATTAAAACAAAAACCCCTACTATTTCTTTCCCATATCCAATAAATGATGAGAACAATGGAAGGACCACAGGGTGGGAAACCAGTTCCTGCGTTTGCTCTTGTGAAATAGCCCAATTAGCAGCAGTCTCTACTTCTGCTTCTCTAAAAATATGTTTCTATATCTTCTATCGGTGTAAACTGGCATAGCTTCACTGATTTCATCAAAGCTAAATCCTTGTAACCAGCTTAAGAGATGGCCTATAATTTAGAGAAAAACAGGCAAAAGATGCAAATTAGCAATGATTAATATTAAAGCTTATTGATCAACACAGCACAGTATCAGAGGTGCAGTTTGAATATAATGCAGGTGTCACCTCTTTTACATGGGTGCCTTCTTACCTCTCTTTTTCGGAACAGGTATGGTTAGGTCACTATCATCATCTTTCTTTTTGCTCCCCAAATCAACAGTGTTCACTGGCACTGTCGATCGTATCTCCTGCTGAGCAGCTTTCATGCGGTCATACAGGACTTTAAAAAATTTTTCTGACTTTTTTTGCTCCTTCAGTTGCTGGTAAGTCGAATACTGAAAAAAATTCATTCTTTAGATATCAATCTTGTAAGGAAAAAATACAAACATACACTATTTTTTGTGAAACAAGTGAATAATTACTTAATAGAACAAATGCTGCCCACTGCCTGACTAGGTCTTTCACAAAGTGATATACAAGGCTGGTAACAAAAGATTGATGACAACATTTTAAAATTTGGATAAAATGGTGAACACTGCTATTTGCAATCTTTAAAATGTCACAATATTCCACTTGAAGTTAAATTACTTTGTGACACTCTTCATTTCTCCATGCATTCTGGAGTTATAATATTCTATCTACAAATAATAGTGAAAAGTAATTGTTACCATGTAACAAAAAGAGAAAGCATGAAACATCTAACATGTAATATTATAGCTTAGATCATATATATTTTTTGTGCTTTAGACAGAATTGGAATTAATATTTTAGGTTATTAAGTCCAGTCCCATAGTATTAGCATCAAGCAGGCTTGAGTACCATTTTCAACAGCTTACAAACTACCTTAAAGTAAAAGCCTTTTACAGCCCCTAACAATTCATTTTAGAAAACTGCAACAAAATCTCACTTATTTTACATTTTATGGACACTCTGTAAGGGTCACAGATCATGTTATTCTTTTTACAGAATAAAGATACAGGATGAGACTCCTCTCATTTAACTTTTATAGTCTCGCAATGAGGTTTAAGTTGGTTATTTAGGATCCCTTCACAGGCAGTGATGTGATATGGGGAAATGCAGGGAGTGATTCATACCATCTCTCCTCTCTTATGATAACTGCTGATCATAGAATAAGAATAAACAATAATTTGGCAAAGATGGGTGAGAAGGATATTATTCACAAAAACTAGAATCTGTAGTTTAAAGCAGTTATTTTCTATGGACTGGGATATTGGTCTTCTCAAATGGCTAGTTTTTCTTTCTTTGGAGATTTTGATAAATGTCCCTAAATGTTTCTAGAAAATAATTTTATGTTGTTACTATTATAAACTTGAAAGTATTGTAATTTTTAATTTTAAAGAGAGATATGAAATAACTAGAGATAATGCTCCTATGGCAAAGACTAGACTAAAAGAAGCACTGTACTACACATAAAAGGACAGCTGAAAAATGTTTTCTTCTACTGAAGTGTTTAAACTATGAAATACTGCATAATAACAGAGCATATTTACATTTCTATTATAGCAATATATATTATAGTGATAAACTTTTCACAGAACTCACAGAACAAAAGGTTCTTTTTATTTGTCTCCAGACTACATGCATTTGAAAATAAATATGTGAATAAGTAAATGAAATAAGTACCTGTGTTTGCGTATTTCCACCTTCAAGCAATGCAATACCAAGCAAAATGCCTTCTGAGAAAATTCGGTCATTTTTGGTGTTTACTATAACATCTATGACTAGTTCTGATGCACCTTCTTTATCCAGAAGGCACTGAATATCGAATATAGTTATTCCAGATTTATCCAAGTCTTGTGCTGAAAATCCACCTGCAAATTAGACATACCAATTCATGTTTGTTTCAGATATGTATATGAAAATGAATCTACTGGTAATAATAATTTGTCTCATGCACACAACAGCAATGTAATAAATTTAAAATTATGTTTCAGGTAAAATTCCCCTTGATACAAACAAGATTTTTGTGTGAAATTGCAGTGTTGGACTCTAAGAATAAGAGATAAAACAAAACCCCGAAACACTGTTTTGTCATGATATTCAGACAACAAAGAAGTTGGAAATGACACTGATCTGTCCACCAATCCTCTTTTTAATTCCACTGCTGCACATGCTAAACTGTGTGTATGGTCAGTGCTCTGAGACCACTTTTAAATCTGCTTTTCAATCTCAGGGCCTAATCTATACAAAGACTGTGTACTGGTAAATCCATTCTGGTTACAGGTATGACCTTCTAGCTGAACATTTTGCCAGTATAGCTCCTAGACCATTAACATCATGATCATGTTCTTTAAGAACAGAGATTTGAGTTAATCCAAATTAAAGGTGCGGTTTTAAGGAATTTTGTTAAATTGTATTAGTTTATTAAACCAACCATCTTTTATTTTCATAGATTATAATTTTTCCTGCTATATTTACGTTTATACAGATGTAACTGCATCTACTTCATTAGGAAAAAAAAACAGTACCGCTTTAATCAGTCAGTACTGCTTTAAACTGATTAGAATTGTTTAGACTTTGTTTGTGATGAAGCCATAAACACACTTTTTAGAGCGAGAACTAAAAAAATAGTAAATCTTTACTATCTTTGTTAGGGAGTAAAATTTGGTGTACAGGATATTAAGACTACATGTAAACACTTCCGGTGTCTCCAGTGAAACAGTCAAGGAGGATCAGTTGGGTAACATGTGGAAACACTCACAAATCTGGGCATGCCTTTAATATATGCTGAAAATGCAATGGCAAGTATTTTGACCTGGCTCTATACCTAGCTTCTACCTCATTTCCTACAACATACATTATTTTGGGTTTTCTGAGAAACTATCCAACAGTAACTTCTTGTGGCTTCTATAACAGAATCATATGAAAAATTAGGCTATAAGGGACTTACAGAGATCATTTACTCAAACTTCCTCCTCAGGTTAGCTAGATAAGGCTCATCAGAAACGTGTCTGGTAAACTTGTAACAAGAACTGACACATTCTGCAGCCTCTGGGGGCAATCTGTTCCACTGCCTAACCAATTTGCGAGCAGCTCTTCCTTATATCTTATTTTTCTCATATATGAATAAAGGATCTGGAATTTCTAAAAAATGTTTAGTTTACAGAAACAGCAACATCTTTATTCAAATGTTTTGTGCTTTGCTGAATTTCTGGATGTGGATTTACTGGCAAATTATAACAGTGTTACCAATTCAAACCGAATTCATTAATTGACTGGGGGACATGGGGAAAGACCATACTTTGGTACTGCCAGCTGCACACCAGCCATCTGAGACAAGTGCAATGTAACCTAAAACTAGGAAATGTCTGATACTCCCTCTCTTCTAACTGGTTACAGAATGCGTTTGATTTATTTAACAACTGAATCCCTGGAGCACTTCCAATGTGTCTATTAGAAAAAATGGTGCTGCTAATTTTGTTCTCTTTAAATGATCTGTGTTGATTTACCTCCCACTTGTGCAGTTTTGCTATAGCTGGCAGACAGAGGCCCATTCATACCACTTCCATATTCTCCTTTAAAGTAGCGATATAGGAGTATTTTCCTTAAAGTGTTGCCCTTTAAGAGAAAGATAAAAATAGAAGAAATTAGTGTTGTGGCCAATTTCCTTTGTTTGAAAAGCAAGCTGTTTAACATAGATACATAATTTAACATAGATACATAATTTATTGTTATAATTAGTAAGCATACAAATAATAAAGTCCAGAAAACAAACATCTAATGGTCTTATCTAACAAATCTCATGGGAAGAGTTCTAAAATACTGTTGCATAAACTTTCTTTGACGCTTCTTTTAAACTTATTGATTAGAAATCAAATACCTCCACCTCAATAATTTTTACTGGCTAGATATGTGTATTGAAACAAATTCCACAAAGAGTCAATGCTTCATAGTCCGTGTGTCTATGCCCCACCCTGCCATGGTAGTAATTTCTTGCTAGTTTCTGTAGCTGAGTACTATCACTCCCTTTTCTTTGATCTCAGATAATCCATCTGATCATCTGAAAGAAGCCACATCACATGGAATATTAAAACAGAGATATGACATTTGATAGAATAGCTTAAAAAGCATTCTCTGCATATCTCCTTGTTCCTTTCCTTCCAAAACCATCACCAGTCAAAATTTGCATGCAGCTCTCTGATGATCTTCCCTTTCATTTTGCATATGTTCTGCAATACAAGACACACTGAATTAAGAGTGGGGGTACCAATTACTTGGCATTTTTATTTTGCTATCAGTCTGCTAGGAACACCTGCAG